TACATTAGAGATGTCAATCGGATACCAACTTTTTGGTATACCGATACCAAACCGACACCAACTCGGCATTTGGTATTTCAATCCTAATGTGTTTGGTATTTTGTTGGTATCATGAACCCTCGCTAATGTAAGAGACTAAGAAATCGGTAAAAAGTTGGTATTTTCCTCATGTTCTCAAGTTGGTTTGGTTTCGGTATTTCTTCACGGTTTTGGTTGGTAGGGTAACTGTGGGGAAAACGCACCCCTGGGTTAAACGCCTCCCCTAAAAAATCGTATTTCTTATCGACGGATAGGTGTTTTATCCTGTCTTTCAGAGCAGTCAGCTGCTTGTTTGACCTGTTAGAAAGTCGTTAACCCTCGCCCGCACATGGGGGGGGGGGGTTGCCACCCCCCAGGCAGTCTTTCTGCTCTGCACTCAACATTTGTAGAGCTAGAAGGCTGATTTTTCGTATAGCTGCTCGTCTATCCTTTCTTGATGTCCACTGAAAATTTCAAGTTTCTGTGATTTTTGGTTTCGGAGATATGACCTTGTTTTTCAGGTCATGTCATGACCCAAATGGCCAATTCTCAACATCTTGCGTTTGCCATGGGCCTTGTGAGCTTTTGACACCCTGATTTCGGCCTTTTTTGCCAGTCTTACCTCCCACCTATCATGGAACATGTTGTTCGACGATGTACAGGGGTCAAGGTCAGGGTCAAGGTCAACCTAGAGGTCATCTAAGATAATTGCGTTTTAGGCAAGCTGAATTTACTTTTTGTGAAGTTTTTTGACTGCATTTTTGGTAAAGGCTTCTCAGATCATGATTTCATGTGATATGGACCCAAAAACAATCGGTGCACACATCAGTATACACACAGACACACACAGACATACAAACAAATATAACTGACCTTGACCTAACTTGACCTGAAATGACCTCAGCAGCAAAATTCTGGTCGGATAGTGTGACAAAGAGGTTCTAGCTGGCTTGGCACCAGAAAACAGCATCGTCATCGGTATTTGATAAGCAGCGCACTTGATATCCAACGGTGACCCAAAACAGCAACATTTTTTAGTTTGACCTGACCTGGAAGGTCAATGACTGACCTGAGAAGGTAAAACTGGGTATCATTGGATTCGACTCTTCCCAAAGAATCTTTTTGGTCTTTACTGCTAAGCTCTATCTCCAACAGGAACGAAATGGCGCGGGGGGGGGGGGGGTGGCAACCACCCCCCCCTCCCATGTGCGTTCTAGGATGGGAAAATGGCATGTGCGGGCGAGGGTTAAGTGTGGCTGTTTTCGTTTTTTTTTTTTTCGGGGTGCTGATCACGAATCTCGTGTTAGTTTTGACCACAGATGATGTCTTTAAGCATTTAGACCAGGTCGGGTCAGGTCAGGTCAGGTCAACCGGTAGGGGTCCTGCCGGGTATTCGTATAAGTAGGTGTCAGCCGCCTCTGACAGCTTTGTAACATGTTACGAATTCACCAAAACTACTTCGTAAATGTTCAAATGGTTGCTAAATTCGAATTCAGTTCCAAAAATTAGCCTAGAAACATGTAAAACTCGAAAAAGTGAACCGAGGTCACCCGAGGTCACCAAAGGTCAATGACCTGACCTGACCTTCAGGTGACCTTGATATCCACCCTTATGCATGGGAGCAACATCAAATCACATGTTTGAAAGTTTGAAACCACCAAAAGCTTGCAAACGCGCGGCTAATGCGAGCCGACATACGCGGAATCGCGATTCCGGCCAAACATGGTCTCGGAAAAGAGGTCACAGGTCAAAGTTCATTTAGGTCAGGGTCATGAAATTTTCAGGGTAGGTGTAAAATTGATCAATACGAGGGTAGGGTAGCCTGGGGCAAGACGCCCCAGATAATTTATTTTGCTACGTATCTCTTGTCCCACATCATCTGGAAGGTCAAATTTGTGCTCAATGCTTTTTCTGGACATTTTACTTTAAATTGCACCCCTCAAATTCATTAACTTATGATCGGACTCCCAGCTAAGAAGTGATTTCTGAAACAACTGCAAATGGGGCATTTTGCCCCAACCCCAGGGCAAAACGCCCCACGGCCTGGGGCAAGAAGCCCCATACTATAAATTAAAGATTAAACAAGATAGTTGAATAAATCTTATATGAGAGGTTTGTTAGAGCTCTGGAGGCACGGCACTGAAGTTAGCACCTTCTATCCTATCAGGTGTTCAGTTATGACGCTATTGTATGAGCAGGTTTTTCACCTGCCTCATAAGGCCAAATAATAAATTATTGCAATGCAAATGTTAACCCGCGAGTTGCTGGGGGGGGGGGGGCGTTAAACGCCCCCACTTTTTTCGCCGGGCCATAGCATAAAAACGGCGCGCCGCAGGCGCGCCAAATTTTGGCTACCTGTAGGGAATTGATTGAAGTTTATTGTGACAAAGTTTAAAAAAAATCGGTCGGAAATTTTTTGAGATATCGAGGTTTTAGTGACGTCATGATTTCTGAGTTTTCGACCAAAAACGGCATATGTTCAAAAAATCATATAAAATCACAGAACAGACATACAGACATGCCGTAAGCGCTATTAGACTGCCAATACCATGAACAATCAAATGGCTATCTTTGATTATTGATTATCGTTCCGTATTTTCCAAAATCTTGAACTGAATCTTGGCAATTTTTCGTGACTACTTCACGACCATGATACATGATTTTCTTAAATTGAACTTTTTGAGCCAAACACGTACACATATGATAAAATGAATGTCACCATCGTGTTCTACGCCCCAAATTACCCATAAAACATGTGTCACAGGCTGCGAATATCAGTTTTGATTTTCGGGGATATGTGCCTATCCGGTTGACCTGACCTTGACCCTGACCTATGCTTGACTGACCCCTACATGGAGCTGACACTCTTGTAGGCCTTATATGATGGATTGTGCACCGTTTTGACAGAGTTACTGACGAGAGGCGCCCATTGCGAAGTCCTGAAGTCGATGCTACTGAAAGCCCGATTTCAGGTGTTTGACCTGACCTTGACCCGACCTGTGACCTCAAAATTCAACTTTGAAGTGCTCAGCTGAAGCGTCTCGTCGCGCTCTTTCGTTTGCCGCCTCGTGCGTTTCGCTGCGCCTATTGGTTCTCGAGTTATCGGCTGGGGGCGTTTAACGCCCCCCCCCCCCCCAGCAAACGGTGGGTGGCGAAATACCCCAGCAACTGCCGGGTTAACAAAATACTTTCTTTGCCATCCAGTTGCTGAGAAAATTGCATATAAATGCATAAGAACTTACCGTTCGCCAGCTACCGAACATTAGGAAGTGGGTAGTCCGAACAACACGTGAGGTAAAACGCCCCATGGGGCTTTTTGCCCCGCGACCTTCTGGGGCGTTTTACCCCATTACGTAGTTCGGTCAGAGAACAACGCCTTGCGCTCCAGCAAGACATAATTTAACACGAACCAACCCGGCATTATAAGCGTTAGACAATAGTTGTTCAAAATACATAAAAGTTGTTAACCTGATGTGGACCACAAAAGAACGCCATGATGCATAATCAGACAACAAAACATAAAAATCACTCTAAAAACACATTTTTGGCTATATGTTCCTAAAGAGTTATCACAATTTCTTTCCAGTCTGCTCAGATAATGATCATATAGTGCACGTTTTATTGAAGAGAGAATTTTTCCCCAGAACCTTGCCAGTTCCGAGAAACATCGGTGAGGCGTTTTACCTCGGCGGGGCGACTTGCCCCGGTCTACCCTACTGAAAGTTTCGTCGCGATCGGCCGCTTTTTACGCGAGTTATTCGCGAAAAACTAAGGGGGGGGCCGGGGGGCCATCGGACCCCCTACACATGCGAGGGTTAACCCTAGAACGCCTGGGGGGGGGGGTTGTATCAACCCCCCCCCCCTGAGGTTTTTTCGAAGTGCACGCTAAACGGCTTGTCGTAGCGGGCTGAAATTTTCAATACCCTCTGGGGCAACCTTTGCGCATCTTTTGCCGAAAAAAATTGATCGGGTCATGTCAGGTCACGGAGTTATGACGTCATAAGAGGTACAGCCTCCGGCCGACAGTTACCAAACGTGTGCGCCGAATCCCTAGGTTTTCTGCCGGTGATACCCACATTGTTTGATGGATCATGATGAAACTTCCCATGCATGTTGGGGCAAGCATTGGCTATCGTGTGGTGCAAGAAAATTGACCGGGTCAGGTCAGGTCACGGAGCTATGACGTCACAAGAGGAACAGCGTCCGGTACTATTTTTGAAAAGCGCCCGAACCACTATTTTGCTAATTCTTGTCACCTCAATGGGAATATGCAGCAATATTAGCTTCTATAGGGAGCAAATGGACCTCCCAAATCCAAAAATACAATCAGATTTCAAAAATTTAAATTTTGATTTTTCGAATTTCTGCCGCCGACTGTGACCTTGCCGACTTCCGGCGCTCCCAACGCGCCATTTTTAGAGCTAGGGAAACGAAATACATACCAAACAATAGAGAATTGATCAAGAAACACGATAGTGAAGGTTTCAAGTCGATATCTCCCACCGTTGTGCCACAATCGCCGCGGAAAGTTGAAAAAGTTTGATTTTTTCGGAAAATTTGACCTTTGACCGGTCATAAGTAGGTCAAATGTTGACCTAGGACCAAAAAATATACCACCAATCGCGAGATCTCGTTGAGAGCAATCCGTTGGTTTTTTCCGCTAAGATCTACGACCTTCCGTTTCGAAACGCCAGGGGGGGTCGTAACAACCCCCCCCCCCCTGGTCGTTCGTGTTATGAGAAATGGCCTGGTCGTGCGAGGGTTAAGACTACTGATATGGATGAGTCTAGAGTCTACCACAATAACTAATGAAAACATCAGCTACTACTATAGGTATATACATACGGCATACCCAAACACACATACCTACCTATTTACATTTATACCAGAAATGCCTTTACCCGAAAAAAATACTTCATTGCCTGGTCGGCAAAGAGCTACCAGATTCTCTCGATTTGGCAGCCCTGAAAGTTGTAAACAAATGTGTGCGCCGGCCGCCAAAAGAAACCGCGCCGGCTCCCCCGACTCGCCCGCCGTTCGCGCATCGCCTTCGCTACGAGGCTCTTCTGTGGCGTTTCGCCGGTTCCTGTCGTGATTATTTGATGTTCAAGGGATTTATTCATTTGTGAGAAGTGAAAGTAGTAATTGAAACGTAACATCACTGACAATATTTCAGAGTATAGGTTCGCCATGGCAGGGAAACAAAAACAAACTGCACGGAGATCGAGGAGCAACATCAATAGTAAGCTATTATTTATTTATATATTCGAGGTTTATACGATGACTGTTAACTGAAGCAGAATGATAGTTGTTTTCTTGATCACATCTGCCTTGTATTTGCCCTACCTAGCATATTTTCAATATTGTTCTTGCAGCAGCAATAAACCATTCTGATTCACTCAAAATCCACCTCTGCTTCAAAACAAAGCCCCAATCTGGAATATAAATAGATAGAATATGTGTGCTATTTTCATCATTGGCATTTCAATTTTTGATCACATCGTTGGTGTCATTTCCATGTCAATGTATTGGTAACTCAAGACTCAAATCTCCTGAGCGGCATGCTTATAGCCCGCCTACACCATGCTTCCACTGGCGGATCCAGGGGGCCATGCTCCAGTGGTTGGGTAATACTATTGGTTGCATAAGAAGTGTTCCAGTGAGAAATTCTTTTGATGCAGCCTGAGAAATGGATCCTGTTAGTGGGACAACCTCAGGACGGTTGTTATGCAGTTGTTACAGCTTTTGTCATTATCGGGAAGGTTGGTCAAGCATTCCTGGCATCCCACTGGTCGAGTAGGGTCTTGCACACTCCATTCCACCTGAATGGGGCGGAGGGGAAGCTTATTCACAGCTTGCAAACTTTTGGTTGCTGGAACTTCTTCAGAGTCTGATGGATCAAGCATCTTATTGTTTTTCAGTCTTTACAGTAGAGCTTTGTCCATAAGCTTGCACTTTTACTCTGAGGGCTGTTCACGGGCCCTGTGTGCGGTCGGACCGCACACACCCTCCAAGCTCCGCCCACTGCGTCCCTATGTCAGCCTTCCGTCACTGCACACAGCGACCGCTGTGGCCGGTCAAGACCGGCCACAGGAAGCCGTCCACCGCACGCAGCCGTGACGTCAGAACCGCCTACCCATCCCCTACCCCCACGCCTGCTGGACTCACCGCACACACCGCACGCAGCAGTGTGCGGTGCCCGTGAACGGCCATCCAATGTCAAACTTCAAAGTTCTTATTCAGCTTCATCACTGACTGTCTGAAGATTTTTTTTTTTTATCTTGAAAGTCAGTGGTTGGGCACACCTGCTCCTGCATCTCTTCTGCACATGTCATAAAAATCTTAGGCCCTGGCTGCTTAAGATCAGGTCACCAGGTCAAGGTCACGCCAAGTGACCTCATCTTAGAAAAAATAAATTAGCTGCACTGTCTGAATGATCACCTTGAAATTTTCAGGGATGGATCGGAGTAACAGTATATGTAAAACTTATATCTTAGAATTTGGATATCAATGTCCTAAGATTAGTTCAATTTTGTACCCTCTCCATTGTACCTAAGGCAACTGGGAAAAATGAAAGAAACCTCTTTTGGATGAACATCATTCTAAACACTGAGACATTGAGATTTGAGATACAGGCAAACTTAACCCTCGCCGGCCGAGGGGGGGGGGGGGGGGGCGGGTGCCGCCCCCCCATAGGGTTTTTTCGCGATAGCTCCGAACACGCTGGCGATAGAGAGCTGAAACTTGGCATACCTGACCTTTGATCCAAGCCCGATCTTTTGACACCAACCGCATTTTTGGGTCAAGTCAGGTCACTGACCTATGACGTCATAAGTGAACCTCTGCACGGTCTTCAGATGTCGCAACTTCCCAACGCCCTCACTGCCAGAGGAGATGTCACAGGGAAATGAAACTTGCAGGATCTAGTATCCATTATGAGTCCCACAACTTGTATATCTCGGATTTTTCCTAAAGGTCATATGAGGTCAGGTCATTTTCGTGACCTCACCATTATAAGTCAATGGGGAAAAATGAAAACTGCTATTCTGGCGCCGGCAACGATCTCTCACTATCTCAAGCACACAGAATCGTGATTTGGTGCACTCCTTGCAAGGTTAGATGCGTCACTTTTGCAATGTTGACCTTGCGTGACGTCATTTATGACGTCATCAAGGTCATATTAGTTTTTCGTCAATAACTCTTGATCAAATTGAGCTAGCGAGTCGGGAAAGCCATTAATGGACTCAGGAAGGCCTGCCGAATCGAATGATATGCGACATGACCTCTTTCGACCAACTTCGTGACCTGGGGTGCTGACCTGACCTTGACCTGAGGTCAACACCCCAAGTTGACCTGACCCGGACAAAAAGTATATCATTCGACGCGCCTGAGCGAGGCGAACACGATGCTGCCAAAATCAGCGCTCTGCAAAATCGGGTACCAATCTCTGCGTCTCGTAACGGCGCACACGCTCGTTTTTTTCCACGACGCGCTAGCTCCACCAGGGGCGAAACGGCGAGGGGGGGTCGTACCCGCCCCCCCCCCCTCGGCCGGCGCGTATGTAGAAAACCAATAGGTCCGGCGAGGGTTAAGACACACTGAATCAGAAAGTTGCATTTTTTGGCCCTCATTTTGTCCCTGAGGTCATCTGAGGTCATGAAAGGTTCACAGCAGTTTTTTGGCTATAACTTTTGATAGAGGCATGTTTGAGCAATGAAAACACCTCAGATGTGCTCGCTCAGCTCGACAATACGGATCGACTGATATGCAACATGACCCTTTCTGGTGAGGTCATGACCTTGACCTTAGGTCAACTTTTCAAAATGACTTTTTATGGACAAATTATAGTGCATTCGACGCCTCGACGAAAGGAACACGATGCTGGCAAAATAAATGTACCTTTCTTGAGTCAAAAGCTATTGCCGAAAAATCGTAAAAACGACTATTTTTCTAGTGTTTGCCCTCCCGAGGCTACACCATTGATCTTAGGTCAAATTTGAGAGCTGTACCAGAAAGAGGGTTAAAAGAGCTACCGAGTGCGCTTTTTCGCGGCATTGTAACTTTATTGGCTCCCGAGTTATGCAGCTGTTTGTCGAAAAACGTTGAAATATAAAATGTTATCGTTGCTGCCTCTGGTGACCTGACCTGACCTGACCTACCCGACCTATAAATGACTGAAATATTTTCGTCATGATATTCTACGCTTTTTCGAATGCCGCTTACCACGTGCCGCTATGGGGCCCAGGAGCCAAGTTAGATGGGTGAGGTGGGGGTGGGGGATGGTGGTGGGGGTAACTCCCCGGCCCGGCGCGGGCTATTTTTTACCCTCAACCCAGTATGTTTGACTATGACATCATTCTGCATTACGCAGTTGTTCGTCCCAGCTGTGGAGTACCTATGCATTTGCACACTGCCAGCCCTCTGACTATCACTCCGGCCCACCAGATTCCCAGTCTGCGGGGACCTCCCGGCTCTCCTGCCGTGCCCTGGCCGTGCCTGCCGTCGGAGCGGTGGCCGTAGCGGTGGCCGTGGCTCTCCTCTACCCCTCTCTCTGGGAGCCGGCCGGTGACCGGGCCGGCCCGGCGGCCGTCACCCAACAGGACCCGGCTGCCGGTGACCTCGGCCGGCCCGTGGCGCTGACTGCTGAGGAGCGACGGCTAGCTGACCAGCTGTACAAGCAGGAAGGCTTCAACGTGGTGGCCAGTGACAAGGTGCCGTTCGTGCGCCGACTGCCCGATGTGCGGCCGCAGCTGTGAGTGGAGTGACACCGCCTCAGAGGGGTGCTGGCAGCAGACGGGTTGTGGTCGAAATCGGATTGCAGCGACAGACTCATGCAATGAATCCAATGTGCCAGCCGCCAATAGACTGGAATGTTGTGTAGTAGCAAACAAGACGTTTTTTTGTGTCTTTGTGATTGTCCATAAAACCAGTAAGTTCATTTTCTAGCGAGGTTCAATCAATATTTCGTTGTTTCATTTTCTCGTTGAAATATTATATCCCCTGTCTTAACCCGCGCCCTGCTGGGGGGGGGGGTGTTTGAACACCCCCCCTTGTGGTTTTTCGCGAATATCTCAAAAACGGCGGCGCGGAGCGCCGCCGTTTTTGGTACACCTTATCATACATCAATTCTACACATGTTGTAAAAATTTCAGACCAAGGTCATTCAAGGTCAGGTCACTAGGTCACTTGAAGTGACCTCACCTCATAAAAAGTTTCAATGTCTGTCATAGCTACACTGAGTGACCGATCGCTTTGAAACTTTCAGCGATTGCTAAGAGCTATAGCATGTACAAAATGTATATCTCAGAATTTTAATATCGATGACCTAAGGTCAGGTCAATTTTGCGACCTCCCCATTATAAGTCAATGGGATAAAATTGAAATGCGCCTCCTTTGGACGAAAGACATTATAAACACTTCCAAACACTGAATTACAAGTGGTTTAGACACACTGAACATAAAAATGGTGTCCGTGACCCCTGTTTATGCCCTGAGGTCATCTTAGGTCACGAATGGTGTCTAACAGTTTTTCGCAAATAACTTTTGATAGAGGCATGCTAGAGCGATGAAAACGCCTTAGATGTGTTCAGCTCGACGATGCGGATCGACTGATATGCAACATGACCCTTTCCGGTCAGGTCATGACCTTGACCTGAGGTCAAATTTTCAAGTTGACCTTTCAAGGTCAAGTTATAGTTCATTCGATGCGTCTTGACGAGAGGAACACGATGCCGGTAAAAGTAAGCTCGTACAAGGCTTGGGTCAAAAGTTATTGCAGAAAAACTGTTTCCAAAAAAATCGGCTATTTTTGCAGTTTTTGCCCCCTGCAGGCAAAACCGTTGACGTTAGGTCAAATCTGAGAGAATTACTCAGAAAGGGCGTTAATAGGGCTATGGAATGCGCTTTTCCCCGGCGCTGTAGCTCTATTGGTTCCCGAGTTATGCGTTGGCTTCTTGGAAATTGTCGACATTCGACCTGGAAATCGGCGAAATTTTGCCTTCAATGACCTCTGGTGACCTGACCTTTGACCTGACCAAAAAATTGACCGAAGTGATTTCGTCATTATTTTTGACGCTCTTTCGAACGCCGCCTTCCGCGTATCGCTACGTGGCCCAGGAGCCGAGTTAGAAGGGGGGGTGTTCAAACACCCCCCCCCCCCCAGCAGGGCGTGGAAATCCAGGACCCCCAGCCGGGCGCGGGTTAATCTGAGGTAATATGCCAACGCACTGTGTTATGTAAGACATGTTGACCAGTTGCCCGTATTGACAGCCGTCAGCCGGTATAATTTCACCCTCTCCGTTCGTCCTCAGGTGCCGCGGTCGGACGTACGACGCCGACCTGCCTGCTGCCAGTATCATCATCAACTTCCACAACGAGGTGTGGTCGGCACTGCTGCGATCGGTCCACTCGGTGCTGGCCCGCACTCCGGCCCACCTGCTGTACGAGATACTGCTCATCGATGACGCGAGCACCAAGCGTGAGCTGGGAGGGGGTGGGGGAGACGAAGGGATGAAAAGGGGATGAGGGTCAGGGTCTACAGGGTGAGCTGCTGAGGGTCAGGGAGGAGGAATTGTGAGGGACTGAGGGCCAGGGAGGTGGGACTGGACGATCTCGAAGTTGGGGCTGCTGCTGTTTGCTTTGCTGGTAATGTGAATTCAGCGCATGATGCGTTTTATTGAAGGTTGATATATTACATGGATATTTACTTACATTTTCTTTTGCATGGCTTTATGTAGAGTTTTGGTGCTCTTTTGTATGTTATAGGTCAATAATGGTCATGTGTGATATCTGCATGGTTTCATGTGTGTCGTTCTTTCTATTTGCCCTTATATGTTGTCACTATTGCAGCTCTAATTTCACATCACTCTGATACCCCATTTGTGCCATGACCTTTTCACAGCGGAGCTGGGTGAGCCGCTGGAGCGGTACGTCTCCGATCACCTGCCGTCCAAGGTGACGCTACACCGTCTGAAGGAGCGACACGGCCTGATCAGAGGCCGACACTGGGGCGCCCAGCAGGCGTCCGGACCCGTGCTCATCTTCCTGGACTCGCACGTGGAGCCCTGTGATACCTGGTCAGTCAATGTGTGATACCCGTTTGACTTTGATACTTGGTCCGCTGTGATACCTGCGTGATACCTGGTCATTGTGAGTCCCACGGTGTCTGATCAGTGCAGGACTGCTCAACTCTCGCGCAGCAATCCTGATAATTGTTGCGGTAGAGTTAGCTGATCAATGCTGACCATCTCTCAGCATTGAGTGATGACTGGTCAGAAGGGAATCAAAGCTAGTCATATAAATGTAAGTTGGGCCTGTCATCGTGTGAGCGAATTCTCCCAGATCAAATACTGTCTTGTTCAAGCTTAATAGTTTGTCACAAAGACAAGTGTTGTAGTAAAATAAATGTCCGAGACCGAGTTCATTTGGACTTACTAAAAACCTCTATCGTATGGGACCAGACGCTGCCAGTCTGACGTCTCAGTGTCTTGCGCTATCGAACTCCTCTAACCTGACCCCCTCCCCCTCCCAGGATCGAGCCTCTGCTGCAGCGGATCAAAGACGAGCCTCACGCCCTGGTCTGTCCCGTGATCGACAACATCAGGGACACGGACCTAGCCTACCAGCCGGCCGAGCGAGTGTCCGGCGGGTTCGCCTGGTCCGGACACTTCGCCTGGATCGAGGCCGGCGGAGCCGACGGAAAACTTCCCAGCGACGAGGCGGCTCCCGTCAGGTCAGAGGGGGAATTGTGTGCCGGAAGGGTCAGATTGAGGTAGGAGGCTGGGATAGTGTGTGATTGTACGAAATTACAGGGTCAGTTAAGTTAGGAGGGTGAAGTTTTAGGGTTGCAATAGGCTGCGGAATGCGGATGGAATGGAGAAAAATGAGGGATTAAAGACTGCATGATGTTACAAGACAATATCTGCTGATGTATCTAGCTGAGGTCGAACTATATTACCGTTAATTATGTTGACATGGTGGTGTTTTCAGTTGCCTGTGCGCCCTCCTCCTTGTTGTGGTGACTCGATATCCATACACAATGCGTCTAGAATCGGTAGTCGACCTACCCGACTCCCGGAGTATTCCGATGGCTCGATATCCAAATACCCCAATACGCCCAGTATCACTCGTTGACCCGTCCTGTCCCTGGTGGCACCGTGTCGTTGGCCGGACAGTTTGTTAGTTTAGCATCGAGACCGGTGGGACCGGTACCACTGGCTCGAGGCCGGAGTAACATGGGGCCGCCATACTGGACGGGGGTCGCTCGGTAGCACTAGTTCCGGTCACTGAAGGTCACTGTAATGGTACTGGTCACTGCACCGACGGGTGGGGACCGGTCGGTGTGACGGGTGGGTCGGTACGGAAGTACCCGGGGCCATCCACTGCAACTTGTTCTGTGACATGACGACCCGCAATGCCTTATTTATAGTCATGTTTGATTTGATCGCAACATCAATAGGCATTTCACGTTGCTATGCCGGAACCCTATTATACGTATGGTTTATCGAACTGTGGCTAGAATACTTATTCTGTCCGCGGGCTGGAATGGGAATACCTAACCAAGGGCTGTAGGAATGGTCATCGCAAGTTTGTGATTTCATTATCCGTAGCTAAAGGATGATTCAAATGACCCAAATAGCAAGCCACTGATATAATTCACCAAGCGCCAGGAAACTGCTTAGTGCTTGTGCTCTGTTGTTTTGGGTGTCTTCTCTAATTTTTTTTCCGGCTACTGACCCAAGGGCAAACATTGTGACATGGCGTAGGTGAGTCACGGCACAGTCGAAATTGCGGATAGCTGCAGTCTATACTAAAGTAGTACGATGATAGCAGAGAAGCTTGCCTTCATGCTCTGATTTTTCACCAATTTTCATCGAAAAGCGAACTGAGTTAAACCAGTCAGAACAAACAACTACTACTTGCTCTGCTCCCGAGAATATGAACATCATGCATTTTTGCTGAAATATTTCGTTGACTTCCTGGCGATATGGCACATTTGAACAACCGGTAACGGGTGCTGCTTTATTTGTGCGCCAGAACAATAACTGCAGCTCGTTACTCGGCGAAGCACGCCATCCAGTGCCAGTCAGGTCCGAGTCGTTTCCTATTTCTTCCCAAGTCTGCTCGAGAGTGTCTTCTGCTCACTTGTGTATATATAGGCTGTGGATGATACTTGAGGCCGATGCTAGTCTGGGTGCGAATATCGGCTGGCAGCACCTGGAGAGATGTGAACAGCCCTTGTCTCTGTCGCCGTTGCCGTTGCCATAGTAACATCTAGCTGCCGTTGGCGGTCGGTAGGTAGTGTGGTGTTACATACCGTGTGTTAGGCACGACCAATCAGTTGTTTGTGACCGGCTGAAAGACCGAGTCGGGAAACAGACGTCGTGCAGAAATCTCCGTCTTTTGTGACCGGCTTCAAGACACCCAGCCATAACTACCGTCTGGGAATAACCTCAGATGCCAGCTATTTTACGAAGCTACAGTGCCTGAGACACCGCTGTCAGTCAAATCTGGCCTCTCCCGGCTCGAGTGTGACTCCGGAACCAGTGGTGACGGGTGTCTTTGTTCGACTGTGTCTGCTTGTCCTGCCTGTTGAGTGATAGTTTGGCACGTCCGTGTGTGGGAAAGGTGGCTGGGGTAGACAGCGCTCCACAGGCCTCTGTCGGACAGACACGTACGCGGCTCTGCACCTGCCATTTGTCAGTGGTGACGGACGGGGTCTGTAGGCCGTCCCTGTCAGTGTTCAGTGCTCCTGTCACTGTCACTGTACACCACAGCAGGGGGCCGCCAGGTCGAGACGGAGTCGCCTGGCTCGTGCGACGTGGAGCAGACACTCGCATACTCTGCTTTGATTGAGTGGTTTAGTTGGATAATTCAGATCGTGTGTCTGCCTTGGGCTCTGGCTCCGACCGTGACGAGCATTTGGTGTCGGTTACGTGAAACAATCTCTACGTCGTGGAGTGTGCTTCTTACGCGACATCCTGCGTCGTACTTCGGTGATACGAAGCCCACTGGTAGTCGCCACTCGACAACTACTTCTATCACATCGACCGTCTCCATCGTCTCTGTCGTCTCCATCGTCTCGTCCTACCAGCTGCGATGTCTGTGCAGTCGGCGAAGCTGGGCGCCTTCTGCCTGCTGCTGATCAGCTCTCTAACGCTGGGCCTGCTACCGTTCTGGCTCACAGCCTGTCTGAAGCGACGTCAGACTGCTGGGGGTGGCGGTGCTGCCCGGCTGGCCATCTCCTGCCTACAGTGTCTGGGTGGGGGAGTTCTTCTCGCTACCGTGTTCACCCACATGCTGCCCGAGGTGCGGGAGGGCCTGACGACAGCGCTGGGTGGAGAGCCGACTCTGCCGTTGGCTGAGCTGCTGCTCTGTGTGGGTATGTTCGGTATCTACCTACTGGAGGAGCTGGCGCTGCTCTGTGCCCGCGGAGGGACGGAGAGGAGGGAGAAGGAGGATAAGGAAGAAGAGGAGGAGGACGAGGAGAGGGTGCTGTATGACGCACGGATGGAGAGCGCCCTGCTGCCGCCGGCGGAGCGGCAGTACGGGGCTGTCTCCGGCCGACCGACCGCTGCTGGGGACACGGTGTGGCCAGTGGCCACCCCCGTCCACGGCCACACCCACTGTCACAGCGCAGCGGCGACCACAGCGACAGCCTCCGCCGGCGGTCAGACCGGCCTGGCCTCGTTCCGCGTGCTGATCGTGACGGCCGCGCTGTCGGTGCACTCTGTGTTCGAGGGCGTGGCCATCGGCCTGGAGCCCTCCGAGCCCAGCGTGTGGCTGCTGACGGCCGCCATCGCCACCCACAAGGCCATCATCGCCTTCTGCTTGGGCGAGCAGCTGGCCTCATCGCTGACCAATCGGCGCCGCGCGCTGGCCTCGCTGGCCGGGTTCGTGGTGGCTTCTCCGCTGGGTGTGATACTGGGCGCTGTGCTGACTGCGGGCGGCGGCGCTGGCCACGAGCTACCCTCAGCTGTACTGCAGGCTCTAGCCGCCGGCACAATCCTGTATGTCGTCCTCTTTGAGATAATCCAGGGAGAGCGAGCTAAGCCGGGTCCCGGCCTGGCCCGGCTAGCAGCCATTCTGTTCGGGTTTGGCTTCATGCTGCTGGTGGTGTGCCTGGTGAGAGAGCCGGAGGAGGAAGAGCAGGGGAGCAGCCAGCTGAAGTCGCCGGTCGCCAGCGTGGCGCCGGGGGTGAGGAGGAGGGTCATCCTGCCGTCGGCGATGCGACACTAAATGGTGTCTCGGAGTTTGATATGATGCGGTTTTCATACGATATTGACAAGCTGGAGTTGCGCAACTAGCGATCGGTTGTGGAGTTATGCTGATGCTCGTGAATGAAAACCACAAATCCATGGCATTATTAATTAATAATGAGCAGGTGTTATCATAACGTAATTGAGTGAACCGCTCAGGGTCGCCTGGCATGGTGTTTCTTACAACGACCAACAATTTACACGCGGTTCAGAGCTCGCTCATTCGCCACTCTGAGACAGCTGGGCCAAACTACTATAGTGCAGTGGAGGAAGTGACTAGCAAGACTGGTTGAGTCTGTACTATGTGGGTCACGAAGTGGTGTGAGCTGAGCTTTTGACCGCTCACTGCACGGAGCTTCAGATCAGGTCATGCGTAGTGCACATTCGTGGCTAATTGGTTATGTTTGTAACGAGTCAAGCTGTCATTTTGACTTTTCTGTCGTGTGACATCCATATTTACTTAGCAGCTGTATATAATGCGTGCTAATATACAGGTCAAATACATTATTGAAATATGAAAGAAACCTTTCTAACGCTGCACCCCTGCAAGCTTTTAAGGAGAGGGCGGGGAGGGGGCTGTCCGTCACTCATCCTGCCGTGCAAAAGTCGCCCCTGAACTTTTGTCCGGCGGCAGCTCGGTCAGGGGTCGTGCCCCCCTCCCCCCAGGGTGGCCTAGTTTGAGTCCATCAGTCACCACTGCCAAGCTCTGACGTGTGCTGCCTTATTCCTATTCACATTTCTACCTCTGATTTCTGTAATCGTGGCAGTGTTTACAGCCGGCCGCTGGCGTTGCGTAGCTGCGTTCTAGTGCCCCAGTGGAATGGGCGGTACTGTGTTACGTGACTGAGGCCAATTAAACCACACGGCGGGGGGAGGGGTAGTACAGGCGGGGGACACCCTGGTGACTCGGCGGAGTCTGACACACAGCGTGTCAGAAATGACACATGACTCAGGGTATGGCGTTTTAACGCAAATGACACCGCCAAGTCTATGGAGCGGGAGGCAGGCGTATAACGCGGTCATCGGTCAACCCTGGCGACACGGTGCGACAGCAGCCCCCGTCCGGGGTTAAATGTCAGTGGCTGGGGCGGGGTGGCAGGGTAGGGGAATAAGGGGAGGGGAGGGGCGCAAGCTCGTTCTCGAATGTCGGAGAACTATGTAGTGCACAAGTTTAAGCACCCGTACTTTATGAAATGCATTTGTTAGAGGTTTTGTTCAACTTGCTTTCCTGTTGCAAGGCCAAGTAATGCTTGTACCGACTAATGGCAGTTGTTGTCCAATCAGACTTCTGTACTGCTAGTAGCTGAAGCAAACTCTAGTATTGATGCCAGGAACCCATTTACCTTACGAGATAAGTTTTGTCGCATTCAGAATGCAGTTTGCTATTGGCGAGCACTACACAAAGAAACTTTTGTTTTATATGGTTTGGACTTTTTATAAGAAAACAATGTAATCAAAATCATTTCAGTCTTATTGACCCTCTGCTTGCCCTGGGTTTTACAATTCTGAACCGTAGAAGCAAACCTTCAGTGGGGCTTTATTGCAATGCCACGACATGTCGCCATGCTCGGGCGCAGGCAATGGTGATTTGACGACCTGTATATACATAATGTATGTCTCCTTTTCACGAACTGAGTTATGGATTACATAAACCTTTGAACTGACTGACTGAACTGGAAATATTTTATCTTTACATTAAAGGGACCCTCCCAGTGCCCACCTTCAAAAAAGTTAATGAATTGGGATTAAAGCGATGTCGCTCGGTTCAGAAAGAGCGAAAACGAAGATCTACCAAATTTCATCGAAAAATATTCACCGGTTTTCAAGATATTAGACTTTTACCTTTGTTTACTTTTTGGGATCCCCGCTGTTCCTAGCGACTTTATTTGAAAGTGCGGCATTTGTTGCGCGCAAAGCAGCATATACCACCGCGTGCTACCAAACGTTTTAGTAAAAGATTTAGAAATCGTTAGATCTCCGCTGACGTCACAAATTCTAAGGGGGCATTCCAATGCATTAGCCCCTTAGAATCCGAAAACTGCATGTTTGAAATTCCATATCTCCGAATTAAAACATTTTTCGATGTTGTGAGTGCCCAAACCGGTATTTTCAGGCCATGGCCACCAATTTGGCTATCTCAACTCAAAACTAATGTTAAGGTGGGATGGTGACTTTAATAATATAGTTTTAATATGGGGTAGGAATGTCATATAGGTTATCGTCATGCTGTAATGCACAATTTTCATTCATTTGTGTTAACTTTGTCCATGTTATAATAATTAATCACGATAAAGGGACACCCCGTTTTTGCCACACTTAGATCTTGAGCCTTTGGCCGTCTCTGGGCTAATGTACGATTAATTAACCCGCGCATGACGGGGGGGGGGGGGGCTCTACAGAGCCCTTCTAAACCGTTTGCTGAATCGACACGAAACTTGCGGTACCCTCAGCGGCATTCATTTGACGCATTGTGTTCAAATTTCAACTTTCTAGCTACCATAGTTTGGCCGGAAATGACGTCAGAGTGACGTCATGTCGGCCGATTTTGATGCAAAATATTGAATTACGGCAAACGCTCTCAAGAGCTTAGTTTTAAAGCTAGATCCAATTTCTTTGCATCTGTGGACTACAAATACACGTGGCTATCAAACTGCTATCTCGAATTTTCGAAATTTTGAAAATTTTGAAAAATATGTTTTTAATTACAAAAATAGGTATATTTTTTGATTTTTTCAAAAAATGTTTAATTTTTCGCAAAAACGGGTTTAAATGTGATAAAACACATACCGATGAACAATTTTAGCAAGTTTTAGCCTAATATCTTCAAAAATAGCCAAGTTATTAGCATATTTGTCAAAATTTTACAATGTTATATTTATAAAACCATTTTTCAGTACGTTTTTGACATCTACAACAATATAAATGGTACCATTGTGTTCCTGAGCTCAAACTGCATCTGATAGGCACCTTTTTTGTTGAAAAAATCATTTTCAAAATTTGACCTTTTTTGACCTGAAAGTGACCTGACCTCTGGAATTCAGCTGAAAAAATGACCTCAAATGACACAGACGACATTATTTTCGAAATCTACGAGTAAAATGGACCATAAACCATGCGTCACGTGACCGATACATGATATACATTGTATATCATGTATCGGTCACGTGACGCATGGTTTATGGTCCATTGTATATTATTAGATTGTATCTTATACAATCTTCGTGACCTAGGATGACCTGGCCTTGACCTAAAAAATTCGAAGTTTAAGTTTGGTACCCTCAGGTTATCTAAGGCATATATCAAGGAGTGCGTAAATCAAAAATGAGCCTGATCGGACTTGTGAGCCGGCGGCCAGAGCCTAAATTGTGAACAAGCAAAAATGCCGATAATATTCGCTTTGACCTGACCTGTGACGTCATCGGTGACCTCGAGGTCAATGAAAATAGGTTTCCTACGGCCGTTTTTCCAGGGCTATCAGACGCCGTATGAATTTTGACGATCGGCCCAGTAGTTTCGGAGATAGGAGGGGGGGGGGGGCTCTGGAGCCCCCCCCCCCAGTGACTCGCGTCATGGAAAATACCCCAGTCATGCGCGGGTTAATGCCATCTATTTTCATTTCACCCTGACTTTCCCTTCTGATGCCCTCAGATCTCGCATGATGTCTGAAGGTCTACCTATACGCGATGAGCAGCGACTATTCCACCATAACGTGTCTTCTCACCACTTTCAGGTCTCCCGTGATGTCTGGAGGTCTCTACGCCATGAGCAGGGACTATTTCTGGCACCTGGGAGGCTACGACACTGGAATGGACGTCTACGGCGGAGAAAACCTCGAACTCTCGTTCAGGGTGAGTTAACTCCGCGGCTGGGCAGGGTGCTTCCGTTAACAGGAGATTATGCTGTTTCACCGTCTACCAATGCAATGGGCGCTTATATGACGGGAATAAGCAATAAGCATGCATTTGACAGGCTACCCCGTTGATGGATTTTAGTGTGCACCGTGCACGTCTTGTATTCACTGCTGTCACAGGCGGTCTGTATGCACAAATGTAATGGCAGCCCAGCTGTAGCCAGGCTAGGGAGAATAAGGTATAGAATGCGCTTGTGTTCTGGAATTGAACTAGGTACTTTTCTTAATTGATCTACGGTAATGTAACAATTTTTTTTTGTCTGCTTTCCTACTCTCACGTCCACTGTCCAGTCCCCCATCATGTATTTGAATTATCGCAGTACTGCGCTTGATCATCTAGGGGCTCAGATTTGGTTGAGTCACCTCATCAGAGGTAGACCACCGTGAGATTAATCAGCTGATCATCTCCTGATTTCCTCATCGCCCTGTCGAAGGTCAAAAGTAACCTCTACTAGATGATAAAGTTCTGGAAGGGCTGATTTCAGCTATATCATTTTTCTGATAAACTTATCATGTTAGTTTCAGGCTGTGATCCTGTCTGATATCAATAATTACCGTCATTCCTTTGCCCGCTTCCTCTCAACTGACCCGTGACGCCATCTCCCACCCGGGTCTTGCAATGTTGTTCCGGAAAGATGGCGCCGCTGTGTGCCGCAGGCGATTTTTCTGGAAAATAATCTGCCGTAGTATGTACCGCCATCTACCGGTAGTCCTAGTACCGATGCTGTGTAACCTGCCGTCAGGGTTTGCTACGGATTGTGCTGCCACCTGCCGGTAGGAACGTATGCAGGTGGCGCTACCATCCACTTTCGGGCCACACGGCCACATGCTAGTGAAGTGAAGTCCATGCCTTCAGTGGTTTTGCCTCCTGCAGCACCAAACAACCAGCTCTGAGCTCAGTATCGTGACTCATTTATGTGTATCACCTATCCGTGCTTCTATCCTCAGGATACTGAAATCCTTCTCCTCCACGCCGCAACCCCCCTCCGGGCTGGACAGGCAACTTTATCTCATGCGGGCTGTTCCCTTGGAGCGGCACCGCTGCTCCCGAGGGAGCGCACCCCGTAGCCGGGTGCAGTGAGTGCCTTGGGGCTGGGTGGCCCGTCCTCTGGACGGGCTCAGCCCCGGCGACTCACTAGGGTGCCTGCCCAGACCAATGTCTCCCCCTAATTCCTATCATCCTTCCGGCTCTGCAATGGTCTTGTCGACCGAAAGGGCCTAACCCAACAAAACAAACAATATGTGTATCGCTAATTGCTTCTCCCGGATCTTCTCTCCTGCACATGCGAGCCGTGAGTTATTATGGGCTGTGCAGTGTGCATGGATAACGGGCTGTGCCTGTGCGACGTGCTTTCTAGCACGTGTGAAGTATCTAATGACATTACCGCTTGCCCCCAGACGTGGCAGTGCGGCGGCGTGGTGGAGACTCTGCCCTGCTCCCGGGTCGGCCACATATTCCGCGACTTTCATCCGTACTCGTTTCCGTTCAGCGGTAACCCTCTGGCGGCCAACATGGCCCGTATCGCCGCGGTTTGGATGGACGAGTATAGCCGCTACTTCTACCTGCACTACCGACATACTGAGGTTGGTAATGGCGGCGGGTTGTGTGTGGGAGGAGAGGGTAGGTGAACTAGCGCAATTATGGTCAGCAAGCGGAAGCTACAGTAGCTCTAGTAGCTGTAGGAGAGGTAGCTACAGTGGAAGCACAATGTTGTAACTTTCCAGTTGCTGCAGCAACGAAATGGCCAGCCTGCTGTTGCAGCTGGGGACAAACTGTTTGAAATATAGGTATCTGTTGGGACCATCATGATCACTATGAACGTTTTTTTTTTCACGTTGATATCTTTCACCGCCATTCTATGCGGAACCGTGCGACTTATTGTAATTATGCTAACGCTGCCGCCCTGTGCCGTCAGATGCCCGAGGCCGGTGACGTCACGGCCCGTCGGGAGCTCCGGGAGCGGCTGCAGTGTCACTCCTTCCGCTGGTACCTGGATAACGTCTACCCCAACAAGATGCGTCTGGATGAGGACGTGCTGGCGAGCGGCCAGGTGCGCTCTGCCCTGCGGCCGGACCTCTGTATCGACACGCTGGTGATCGACCGACAGATCTTCCTCGGGCTGAACTCGTGCACCCAGCCGGTCGTCTCGGGACAGGTGAGAGGCATCTAAGTCACCGTTCCGTGCTTCTATCCTCAGGATACTGAAATCCTCCTCCTCCACGCCGCAACCCCCCTCCGGGCTGGACAGGCAACGTTATCTCATGCGGGCTGCTCCCTTGGAGCGGCTCCGCTGCTCTCGAGGGAGCGCACCCCGTAGCCGGGTGCAGTGAGTGCCTCGGGGCTGGGTGGCCTGTCCTCTGGACGGGCTCAGCCCCGGCGACCCACTAGGGTGCCTGCCCAGACCAATGTCTCCCCCTATATCTTATCATCCTCCCGGCTCTGAAATGGTCTCATTGGACCGAAAGGGCCTAACCCAACAAAACAAACAAAACAAACAAACAGGCATCTTAGTCGTCTCGGGACAGGTATGATACTGAATATAGTCGTATAGTATAGTCGTCTAATATAGTCGTCTCGGGACAGGTATGATGTCGGCGCGGGTAGGTGGCACCGGTAGGTTGTCGCCAGTCAGAACGGCAAATCATATTTTATTCCGTAGAGAAGTGTGGAGACGGCATCACAATGAAGTAGAGTAACTGATTGGATGCTTTTGTAGAACAAATTTCCAATACGTTTGCTTCTAAACCTTATGGAGATTTACGACCTTTTCTATAGCTGCTGGGAATTGACAGACCTTTATTGCAACCTCTTCTGTATCCTCCACAAGTGCAGGATGCTTTGCTAATGTCATGCTAATGTCAGTTGTTTGACCCTTCCCAGTGTCCTGGCAATTAGCACATTAAAAAAACTCCCATCTGTTTTTGTTGATTTTTGTTTTCTTGGGTTAGGCCCTTTGGTCCAATGAGACCATTTCAGAGCCGGAAGGATGATAGGAATTAGGGGGAGACATTGGTCTGGGCAGGTACCCTAGTGAGTCACCGGGGCTGAGCCCGTCCAGAGGACAGGCCACCCAGCCCCAAGGTACTCACTACTCACTGCACCCGGCCACGGGGTGCGCTCCCTCGGGAGCAGCCCGCATGAGATAAAGGTATATACCTGTCCAGCCCGAAGGGGGTTGCGGCGTGGAGGAGAAGGATTTCTGTATCCTGAGGATAGAATCACGGAACGGTGAAAACTCCCATCTTCACCCCAATACCCGACACTATATAGCTCTGTTATCTCCCTAGTACCAGCTGACGTTCGCTCGTCTTTTTCCCCAGTTTCTGACGCTTACTTAATTTTTCTTCAACACCTGACACCAACTGTGTCGTTTCCCCAGTGTCTGACACCAACTGTGTCGTTTCCCCAGTGTCTGACACCAACTGTGTCGTTTCCTCAGTACCTGACACATAGTTTTGTTGTTTCCCCAATGACTGACACTAGCTCTGTCGTTTCCCCAGTACCTGACGCTCAGTAAGCGGGGCGAGCTGCGTCGCGAGGACAACTGCGCCTATGCCGGCGGCGCCGGGCCCCACGCCGGCACCGTGACGGCTCCAATGGCCCCGTGTACGATCAAAGGGTCCGAGCAGCAACAGTGGATCTACGACGGTCAGGTCAGTGCTGGGTCGGTCTGCTTGGGTGGCTGCGGAGGCGGCATCGTATCAGCCGCATCGCGGTCCTGACGTTATATTGCATCAGCCGAATCGCGACTCTTGGTCTAGCTCACCATCAGCAGTCTGGCTCTTACGTTATAGCTCGCCAGTTACATTCCGATCCCGACTCTTACTCTACATAACGGCTTAAGCCCGACTTTCGCTGTACTCAGCTGTACCAGCCGTGTCATTGCTCAGTGTAACAGCCGCAGCCTAACCCCACCCAACAGAACAGCCGGTGCTGCAAGCTGGCTCAATTTAACAGCTGAATAGCCCGACGATCATCTGATTTTATCTTGACCGGTCGTTGGCTGTCGAATGTAAGATATTGACCTCACAATGTATCCCACTTCCGCTGTTCATCACAGCAGCCTGGCTATTGAACAATGAACATTGTCTTTTTGGCCTTTTAGAAGCAGCTGATGCGCTGACGTATGAGCTACACAGATGCTATGTGGTGTGTGGCTGCAGTCAGTCCAGATGTGTTGAGTCACAGGCCGCTGCTCATTTGGTCCCCATTCTAACAGCTGGCTATGGGGAGACATGTGTGATTGACGGTACATTGTGCTGTATGGTTTGTATGCTACGCCAGCTCGTACCTATGTTAAAAGTTCATCTGGAACGTAATTCCAAGGTTTTGAGAGAGAGAGAAAAAAAACATTTTGCGAAACCCTAAGATATTTTTTTCTCAATACTATGATCATCCAAAAACCATGTGATGTAAAAGACATTTCGATCGTTGCTTTCATGTATCTCATGTGTTTACTAAATACTCTCCAAAAGAATGTAGATTGGCGTCTTTTCAAGCTATAATTCGGCCCCCTAAGTTGTTTGTTAGGATACTGATAGTGCTGGTAAATAGTAACTGATACCATATCGCATGATACCCTACAAGTGAAGTGATGCGATAGCACGAGGGACGTCCGCACTCATGATAGCGCGACACTCTCGTATTTTGTCATTCTTACTATTGACTCCGCTCCGTGTGTTCTCAAACGGCCTCTGTTCCCAGCCGTCTTGTGCCCGCTGCCTTGTGGCCTTTGCTCCCACTCGATCGATCGTGCTCACCGGGTCCTCAGAACACACTCTCTCACACAGACAGCTTTGACAGCCTGACACACAAACAGGCCACCTTCCGATGGACGCGCGGCCGCGGTCCGGCGTGGTTCCTCTGACGGTGGTGGTGGGACGGACCCAACTCTCGATCTCAGTCACCCTAGCTGCCACGGCAACCGGGCGGTAACGGGCGACCTGCCAAATCCGTGGCTGGCGACCGTGACGCGGTGGTCGCTGTCTTTTTTTTTCTCGCGCATTTGACAAAATCGAGAATCTATGATGGATGGTTTGAAGCGTTTCTATAAATTTGGCGAGCTAACTACTCGAGGCGTGATGTTTTTTTTTGTGCGTTTATGCATTGCTTATTGCTTAGGTGGTTGAAACACTCGTTGAAAATAAGTGTTTTTGGTCGTTGCCCCCAGCTGGCTTATATTAGCTTTTTCGTTCGATATTATCAGCTAGTAGAGAAGCACAAGGGAGAAATGGGTAGGTAACTAAAGCCGTTTCTCCTATACATGTTCCGTAGTCAAAGACCGTAACAAAATGTAATGTTTATGCATTTTATATCATGAAGCAACACAACACCCAACTCTCCAAACTGCTCACCTAGCTCACAGACAAATTATTGCTCGCTGATGTTAAGTGACAAGGCTCATAGATCTACGATCGCAACAGATCGCCGATAATAGACAATCGCTCACTGAGCAAGTTCGTACATTTTGACATGGATAAGACAGCTTGCACTCTAGCATTTTCGCCCTGTTGTTTTCTATAGCGGCGCTTGCAATGTAAGGGAAATAACGAAGCATCCTTCTGTCGTAAACTGTAAGACATAATGGCAGACACATGTTCTGCCAGAACACTACGTCACACGCCATCACACTTAAGTAAAAACACACTCACGACGCTCAACAGAAGACCCATCCCATTTGTTCATGGCAGAGTAAAACTGGTTTTGGTTAATACTGAGCCCCTACTGGTCACCCACACCGACAGATATGTTAGGCGGCTCACGGCCTTCGGTTACGTCCGTACTGGCTAAAACACTTTAGAGACGACTCGAAGGCGCCTTCTGTTCCACCGGCGCCATTGGGGCCGATAACAGAAGCGCGCGAGTCCGCCCCCCCCCCCCCTCTGGCCCCCAATGCCCCCGCTTCCCTCATGGCTATTTCCTCCCGTAGCGTCTCTTGCCGCCGCCAACCGCCGGCTGTCGCTTGCGTCGTCCCTTCCGACCACCAAACCTTCCGCTCACCACCGAACTTTACACGTAGCGACGCCGGTGGCGACGCTGAACAGCTATAGAGAGCCTCATTCTGCTGTGACCTGCCGTTATCGTTCCGTTTCTTCCTCACGTTGCGTCGGTGACTGGCGTGAGTGGCGTCGGCTGGTCGTCGTCAGGCTCCTGAAGGAACGAAGTCACCAGTAACATGATGCCGAACCCGGCCAGGATAGCCAGCAGCTTCAGCAGTCCGCCGCCCGGCTTGGCTCGCTCTCCCTGGATGATCTCGAAGAACACCACGTAGAGGATGGTTCCGGCGGCCAGCGATTGAAGTATGTCTGTGGCAAAAGCCTGTGTGTCCACGTCATCGCCTTCGCTCGAGATGACGAGAATGCCGATCAGAATACCGATAGGTGCCGCCGCCACGAATATCGTGAGAGAGACGATAGCGGAGCGGAGACGACGCTGGGTGGCCGCCAGCTGCTCGCCCAAGCAGAAGGCGATGATGGCCTTGTGGGTGGCGATGGCGGCCGTCAGCAGCCACACGCTGGGCTCGGAGGGCTCCAGGCCGATGGCCACGCCCTCAAACACAGAGTGCACGGACAGCGCGGCCGTCACGATCAGCACGCGGAACGAGGCCAGGCCGGTCGGACCGCCGCCCGCCGCCGTTACCAAGCTGTGGCTGTGACCGTGCCCTCCGTTCGCCTCTGCGCTGCTAGAGGACGGCACGGTACCGTAACCCGCCCTGGCCGCCGCGCCGGCCGCCTCAGCCGCCTTGTCGGTACCCCGCCGCGGCTGTAGTATCGGTGACCTGTCTCCATCCTCGCCCTCATCTCTCTGAGGTGACAACAACATCGCCACCTCCTCCACGGCGTAGATGGAGAACATGCCAGCGCAGAGAAGCACCTCGGCTAGCGGGAAGTCGCCTCCCCTCCCTCCAGCCTCCAGACTCTCGCGAATCTCAGGCAGCATGTGCGTTAGTACCGTGGCCAACAGGACGCCGCCGCCCAGACACTGTAGGCAGGAGATGGCCAGCCGGGCGGCGCGGCTGCGCCCGGTACCCTGTCTCAGCCACGGCCGCAGTGGGAACGGCAGCAGACCCAGCAGAAGCGAGGTGGAGAACAGTATGGCCAGCGCGCCCAGCTTGGCTGCTAGGACAGTCATGGTCGGCTGTCGGCTGCCGCCGGAACGGTCGGCTGTTCAGGTCACCTTTGTGGGTCACTGGCCGATGGTGCTGGGAGCCGGATGGGCTGAGTCTGGGCGGCTGAGACGAGCTGTGCTGAGCGGAGACGATCTATGAAGAGCTGAGATGAGTTTTGATAAGTCGATATGGTTCGTGGTTTCTTGATAACCGCCGGCCGCGTTGAATACGAGTCTGGAACCTCGTAAACACTGAGTCTGGAACCACGGGTGACACTCCGCTGTGCCGTGTGCACTCGCTCGCACTGCGCTCGACTGTGCCGTGTGCACCCGCTGGAGCCGCTGTCCGCGTCCGCGCCCGCCCGGCCAGAGGCGCGTCCAGGTTCCGCTGGCCGGCGGGCGCGCGCGCAGCGGCGCAGTCAGCGCCATCCTGCGAGGAGGAGTCGACAATAACAAGCAACTGAAATCGGGCGTTTCAGTTTCGCCGATTTATTTTGTCTGCCGATTTATTTTTGGCTTGTTATTTCTGTCAGCCGGATCAACCTCCTACAAAATCTTCCCTGTATCCGCCTTAGTCACTCGTAGTCCTCGTGATCGCGATAACATCGGGCCGGGAAGTCGCCGGGTAGGCAAGAGAGATAGGCAGCGGCGCGGCGGCGAGACGCGGCACCGATCCGTCAGCCGGCCGGTCGAGGTTCGGGGCGGTCATTGGCGGTTTTTGTCGGCCTGCTGAGCTCAGAGTGCGTTCCACCCGGCGCGTGGCACTCGGTACGCGTTGGGACTGTGTGGGTCTCCGGTCTGCTGCGGTTTGTCAGAGGGTAACCAGAGAGGTTACTGTCCGTTACTCATCTGATGACGGGTCGCCCGGTCGGCACACCGCCCGTTCTAAAGTCCGCCAGACGGGGGAGCGGCCAGCCGTGCCCAATGTTTGCGTTTGAGAACAACAGGTGACGTCACTGGACTCTGAGACCACTGCCGTATGCTGTGACCTGAGCTGCGTTGTGCACAGTGTCAATTCCGTTATCGACACAAATAAGACTGTCCATGACGCGTGTTGTTGCCTGAACCTATCGTGTCATGTGACGAGAGCTCAATCATTTAGGTACACCGAATTTCCACACCATTTTCATCTAACAGTATTTCCATAATTCGGAGCCGTTCCGGCGGCGATAAGACAGAGTGCCGCCGCACCGCCGTCTTCTGAGGCAGCGCACTGCCAATGTTTGGTGGAGTCGGGTTGTGCCGGTTGACCTTGAGCGGACAGCGACCGACGGCCGGGACATGGAGACGGGTCGGGGAAGGGGGCGTTGAGGACTGCCAGGGTCCTCAGTGACGTCTGTGATAACTAGGGGGTGGTTAACCGCTTCCTTGACCGCTTATTGAAGGGTTAAGTCGCGTAAGCAGAGAGGGTCTCAGAATAATTTGGTTCGCGAACCTCAGAGAGACGAGATCTGAGCATTGTACTACATAGTTACTTTTTATACTCTTCTTTAGTTTGGTTCAAGGTCCTAAAAAGAAGGCCCTTGTTATGCCCAAATGGAAGACTGCAATGCTACTGGAAAGGAGCATCGTCAGGTTCTATCGCATGACTTTGTGTCCGGTGCAAACAGGTCGTTTTGCAGCCGGTACCAAGCTGCATAATATGGTCTTACGTAAAGAGATTGTCAGTATGCCAAAGGACCTCGAACTACGGGCGTGTATGGCGTGACTCGCTGTAACAACTGATGACTTGAATGTGAGGGGGAAAGTGAGGGGGGCTAAATTTAACTCAGCCAATACGCTTCAAGCTAATGAATAGCTTTCATTTTGATGTAACACTTACCTGTTTGCAGTATAAGTTTTGTATTCGTTGTCGATAACTCGCCTCTCATCCTCACATACCTATGTTATGTGGTGTCACTTCACGGCTCACGCACCTTGTTTATTTTTGCGTTAAGCGCAAGGAATTTTTCGTCGATAACTCGCCTCTCACCCTCACATACCTATAGTATCTAAGTTCTGTGGCCTCACTCACTTCGTTTATTTTTGCATTGACCGCAACGCCTTTACCGAAACCCGTTAGGATAGCCCGTTACTAGTCTACCATCCTGTCCGCCATGCTACGTCGACTCCCGTCTCAGGACCCCCGCTCCAATGCCTTCCCAGTCATCATTCGCTTCTCCACTCCGACCCCCGCCATGTGTACCGTCACTAACCCTTCGTACCCTCCCCGTGCTGCTGGGGTCCTGTCCCCGTCTCCGTGGCTTTACGTAATGAACCGGTCCGGTGGCCAGCAAGCTTCTTACGTAATGTGATGGCTGATGGTGCCACCGACAGCAGTCTGATGCTCATGCTCGGCATTCCGGTGCCTACGGCGGGTAACTCGCAGCTCTGCAACCATTACTCGCACCCTGCACTCTTTCTAGCTGCCGCTGAAACTGTTCTTGGTTCTGTTTAGTGCTCGCGTTCCCATGATAGGCTTTTTTGGGGTTGATGTCGTGTTGTCTCTGTGGGTGGAGTTTGTGTTTTAAACATATTAGCGAGACTGTTTGGCGCATTTTCGTTTTGTTTTATTTCCACTCGGCTGCACTGTTCTATTGACTGTCCGAGCGCTTTCTTTGGGTTTTATTCGAGCCGCTGCTTCGATGTGTCTCAATGGGCAGTTAGGAAGATCACCATAAAATAAATAAACTATTGACGAGCAAAGGCGGGTCTGCTTGCTAGCCCTCCACACGCTGTCGATATTTGAAACACTTCCATGCGTGCTACGACTTGGAATGTCTGGCAGGTTTTTCTGTTCTCGCTTCTCATTTCATTGTTGTGAAGGTGTGTAAAAACCTATGCACTGCGTCTGTATCTATGTGCATCTGTTGAATGTCGTGCATTGTCAGTCTTCGAGTATGCATGTATCTCTCCCCAACTCCGATGGCGTGTCATCAATGTCGGCCCCGTGCCTCTGACCGTCTCCCTCGCCTTGTCTCTGCCGGCAGACTGCTCAGCTGCGCCACAAGGCCACCGGCCTGTGTCTGAACAGCTCCGGGGTGGATGCCATGCACCTTCTCTACCTGGCCACCTGCACGTCGGACGTCGGACAGAGGTTCACCTTTGAGAACGGACAGCTGTAGACGAGCGGTGTGCGGACGGACGGACCAGTAACGATAGAGGTGGGAACGACGCGGATGGAGGTAGTCCGTGGTCTGTCCGTGAGACGTGTGGTCTTTGGTCCTTGTGGGTCATTGTCCTTGTGGCCAGAGGTCCGCATGAGTTTCAGATCCATGTGGTCCCTTTCTCCATGGTCCTTGGACCAAGCGGTTAATTACCAGGGTAGTCCCAGGTCGGTTTGATCCAGGTTCATGTTGTCCATGGCTCATGCGATCGTTGATCCGTGTGGTCTAGATAGATCCATGCGACCAGCGGCTAACCTGGCCCGTGGTTCTCGTGGTTCTCGTGAGTCCTGCGGTCCCACCCGTTGATGAATGTGGACCGCAGTGCCTTCCCCGCTCCTACGGAGTATTCAGCTCCCATGGGATGCACTCTAAATCAAAACGCAACCAGTCCCATGGTGGCATATCATTAGGGGGCTGTGCCGATGAGAAGATGCGGATTTTACGAGCTTGATAACGCTCATTCCAGCGCATTTATTTATTTATATCGGTTCCAAATGGCAATACCTCAGACTGCTACGCCTTGAGAAGAGTTATTGCTTCGTTTTACTCAGTTGCCAGTCAAATACGGTACAGAAGGCCGTCTTTTGTTTCTGTGCGCACTAGGAAGTAGAATATTTGCTTTCGTCAAGCTGTTGACGACTTTGTTCCTTACGCTTGCGAAACAACTACTGGTAAGCGATGTGACCTTTAATCTCATTGGTAAAGATCTGAAGCTTTCTTTTTTCGCACACTGCAAATAAGTCACAAAAATGTGGGCTTGTACTTTGTTCATACGAGATTCCCTTTTGTTACAAGCTTTATTTATCAGCAGTGGTATGTCAAGGCTTTGTTTGAGATTGGTAGGTACTATGAGTCGCCGCTCAATCAGAAAACATGCTCCATGTTTTCTTACCAAACGCAAGTGCCTTACCTTGGCGTGTTACCGAATTATTCCTGAAAGGGACGCAATATGTGAGTCATATCACAGATCAGCAAGCCTTGCTTTGAGTGTTTAACAGGCCCGCAGTTTGCATTTAGAAACACTATGGCTAGTTCTAAACAAGTGTGAAGTGTCCTTGTTGTGTCCTTGCCGTCTAGCTCACTGTCTATGTAGGACCAAGAGCTGCCGGTTCAATGGCTGCTGCCGTTTCCAATGGCTGTGTTGGAGCAGATATCCTGGGAATTGATATCGCATTTCCATGATACAAAACACGCTGTGCGCCGCATCTATCCACCGTCAAACGATCAGATGTAAGATCAGCGCGCACACTAGACTGTGTTGTGGTGTTTGCTTTCCTCAATGGGTGCTGTGCTGTCTGTTTGTGGTGTGGGTGCTGAATTAATAACTCACTTTTTACTCTCCAAGCAAATAATTTGCGTTTGAACGGACAGAAGCCACAGTAAATCAATATTCATACGGATAGCTTCTACTGGCGTCGTTGTTGTGGTTTGCGATTATCTTCATGTGTGTGCGTTTGTATTTTCCTGGCGTAGTGCCGAGTTTGGATGTGATTCAAGCTGCGACCTCCACTGCCTCTACTGCGGGCCGTGGTGCCTTGGCGTTATCCCCTGCCGCGATATATCTGTGTTAGTAAATTATTATTTATTGCTAGACGCATTTGTGTGAGACTATGCGTGCCCAAACAGGGTTTTCGGCGGATTCGCCGGGCGGCTAGCCAGCCGTGATCATACTTCGGGAGAGTGTGGGTCGTTTTGGTGATGACCAGGGCAAAAATAATTTTGCTGAGGCTCAATGTGGTAGATGGTACCTTTTTTGTTACTTTGTGGTCTACTGTGATTGCATTTGGATTTGTTTTGTAACTATCATGTCAATAAACGCGTATCAGGCGTACTTCTTCGTTTTAATTTGCTACCTCTAACCTTGATGTGAGTACACGCATGGAAGGTGTGCATGTCGCGCTTACGATGGTGTTGGACGACCGACAGTTTACACATCTGCCTTCCGCCGACTGATTGTGCGACCAGTAGCTAGATATGATGACCTGAGACGGGCAACTCACGGTTATGAGTAATTCCCAGCTCGCCCACACTTGGTCTCGGTTAGTACAGATAAATCCTTACTCAACCGTCTTTTCTGACAGTTTCGATACTGGGTGTGGTGATATTCATTTACCACCGAGCAACTACCACAGCGACTGTCACTCCAGATCCGTGTATGACCGTCCCGCAGTGACTGTATGACACGTATGTGCCAACTGACCCGCGAGTCGCGGTAATCAACCGACCAATTTCAGGGCTCAAGGTTTTTTTTTGAAGCATTTGTCACTTGGAATTGGTCCTTGACCATTTGAGGTGTGATTTAACACACATTCTGAGATGGCCGTCGCTGAGGCTGGGGCTTTTAGTGGGATGGTGAAGTGTCTTGATGATCCCCAACCTATGCTGGGTGGGCCTTGGAGAACTAGAGCTTGCAGGCTCAGGGAGTAGATGGCGCTTCTGTGTGACAGTTGAGATTCGTCTCAGGGCTGTCGAAGACGAGCTTGGGCGTGGGATAGAACACCATATGTCATTCAGCTATCGTGCTCATCAGAATGACTAGCAGTGATCGATGTTACTAGGGCCTTGTCTCATCGAACGGGGACCAGGAGCACGATGTGGGAGTGCCGTTGTATATGGGGACTCGATATCCTGGCACATAATCACTCGGAAAGCCGATTAACCCTCGCCCGTAGAGGGGGGGGGGGGGGTCGAACGGACCCCCCCCCCTCGGTTTTTCGCGAATAACTCGCGTAAAAAGCGGCCGATCGCGACGAAACTTTCAGTACCCTCGCGTTAATCAATTTTACACCTACCCTGAAATTTTCATGACCCTGGCCTTAATGACCTTTGACCTGTGATCTACTTTTCGAGACCATGTTTGGCCGGAATCGCGATTCGGCGTATGTCGGCTCGCATTAGCCGCGCGTTTGCAGTCTTTTCGTGGTTTTAAGCGTTCAAACATGGGATATGATGCTGCTCCCATGCATTAGGGTGGGTGTCAAGGTCACCGGAAAGTCAGGTCTTTGATGACCTCGGTTCACTTTTTCGTGTTTTACATGTTTCTAGGCTAGTTTTTGGAGCTGAATTCGAATTTAGCAACCATATGAACATTAACGAAGAAGTTTTGGCACCTTCGTAACATGTTACGAAGCTGTCAGAGGCGGTTGCCACCTCCTACGAATACCCTTACTGGTTGACCTGACCTGACCTGACCCGACCCGGCCTAAATGCATGAAGACATCATCTGTGATCAAAACTAACATGATATTCGTGATCAGCACCCCGAAAAACCCCGTAGCAGCCACGCTTTACGACTTTCTAACAGGTCCCGATTTTCCCGACTTTTGGGTCATTGACCTGACCTGGAAGGTCAACCGATGACCTAGGACCTTAAAATTGGGTATCATCGGCTTCCTCTCGTCACGGGCAACACGCTCGTTTCTTCCGCGAAGCTCTAGCTCGATCAGGGGCGAAACGGCAGGGGGGGGTCCAACGGACCCCCCCCCCTTATACGTTCGCGGCTGGAAAAACACCAATACGGGCGAGGGTTAAGCGACGCCGTGATGATGCGAGTACCTGATTGAGGATGATAAGTTCATCGCTCGATTGAAGCAGTCAAACCCTGCAATATTCGTTAGAAAAAAAAAACGCCAGATGCAAAAATGCGTTTGGTCATATTCAGTGAGCGTCCTCCGGTAGTCGGTTCCTTGCTATTGAAGCTTGAATCTTCTAGCCATATACCCACCGCGATTCAGTAAAGTGACTTGACCTTTGAATTAAATTAATTTGGTATTTCTACCGCAAATCTGATGGCGATTCACCTGTCCTTGTTACATTTGGCATCTGCATCTGGCTAGAATCCCGGTGTTTTTGCATTTTCGCCAATCGCCAATCACCAATCGGAGTTGATGAGTTCGGTTTAATGCATTTTGCCATGGTTTTGATTTCGTCGAAAGGATGTCCTTTTGTACAGGAGTGCGAATCATTCGGCCAGAAACTTTCTCGAAATGACATGTTTTCATGCTCTGAAGTTTGCATTCTTGCTCTGCTTCTCCATTTTACAGTCGCGCTCTTTTCTCCTACAGACTGGAAACCCCTTCCGAGTGTCCCAATATCCTTGTCATGAGGCTCTCTGGTCGGACCATTTCGCTCGAGTCAGCGCGACCGGGGTCAAGAGGTCATGACCCTCTCGGTTCGCTCGTAACCGGGCGGCCTATTGATCAGCTCGGGGACAGAGAGGAATGGGAGACGGTCACGCTGGAATGTGTACCTCCTGTGGAGACTGAACTTCCTGGGAAAGGTCGGAGCACGGCTGAATTGGTGAACTTAGACGGTGGGGTGGGCTGGCCCAGGCTTCAGCCGGTGCTGTGGGTGTGTTGAACCGGAAGGGTCCTCAGGAGATAGGTTAGGTTTGATGCTTAGATCCGCAAGTCACCCTGTTTGCGTTAACCGAAATTCCATCGTGTTAGGTCAATTGAGAAAGCCAGTTGGACAGCCGCATTGCTTGGGGTCGGACTAATAAACGGGAGAGTTCCGTCTGTCAGTGGGTCAGCTCAAGATTACTGGCCGGCTGTTGGAAGTCTGTTACCGACTGTCGAACTCAGACCGGATCTAGGGGGACGGGGGAGGGGGGCCGTCACAACATGCCACTGCTCTGTCGAGTTTTGGGAATATGTCTGAGCGGAACCAGTCTCGATTCCATGTCTGAGGACTGTGGGGTCAAGATCAGTATTCAAAAGAAGCGATGTGAAGGTAATGTCCACTGTCCAGGCTGCCTCGTTTTCACGACCAACTTTGAACGCACTAGGCGATTATGTTGTCTAAAGGCGTTACGCCGCCCTCGGAACTTATAGCATTGCTGTGCCCAGTGCCCACCAGCTTCCATAGGCACTATTTCAGATGCGTAACTGGCAGTTTCATTTAGGAATGCCGTTGAGCGATTTGGTGCAATGCTATTTTTATCAAAGCTGAGTTTGCGAATTTTGAAGAAACTTCAAAGGAAGCTCAAAACGAGAAGTGGCTGGATAGGGTAGGGTGGGGTAATTTGAACATGTGGGGCAATTTGAACATAGTGTGAATAACACAAAATTACGGAAAATCCATAAGTGGCATGACAATAAGACCAATGAGAGAAATTATCGTAACTAAAAGGGCTATCATATGAATGGGGTTTAAAGTTTCAGGGAATGAAGATGTTGACGCACAGTGTAAAAAATCAATTTCGCAAGGAAAAACGCCTAACAACACGTCATTGCAACTTCATTGCAGCGCAAAATCTTGCATTGCTAGCGCCTAATACGCAACGGCTTTTGTTGTATAATAACCTAATCAGTGCCTTCAATCCAAGAAATTTGCTTTTGAACCCTGTTTTTAAAATGGCAAAATAACTTTTAGCGTGGGGTAATTTGAACATAGTGTGAGAATTTCAATGAAGACAGGGATACCTCCGAAAAAAACAACGCTCCCAATTTTTTTTTTTGCCAATATTTTCGAACCAAAGCAGTAGCAGATAAGTGATGCCAGTTTTAGAAAATTTACGTCTAATATCCGTCTAATGTCCGGCATTTTCGTTGATTTTCCGTCCAAAAATGTTAAAGTCAACTATTTGTCCAAATACGCCCGAATATTATGCAGCTATCAACACTCAAAACCGTCATTTATATTGCTTATCATGTAATTTTACCAGCCGAAAAGTGTTCATTATATTGAAAGCTTAACAAGCTTTCCATTCGCCAATCAATGCTATGCACGATTACTTTATAAAAAGCGCTGAAGTGTAGCAAGCCATCGTCCAATGTTGTCCAGTCTGCTACCTTTGTCCAACCAATTCCGAATTGGACATTGGACAAAATCAGAACTCCAAATGTCCAGGTTTCGATTGGCACCACTTTAACAGATGTAGTAAGGTTGGGAGAGTTTTTATCGAACAAAAATGATAGACGTTCTGTTAATTGAAGAGGGGCGAATTCTGTCAACTGACCGGTGTGCAGCGTGCAGATATTGATACTCTGCAACTGTTATTTTTGCTGTTGTGTTGATTTTTCAAGTGAAGGTATGTTTAGAATTGTTCTGCCTATTTGTTTATGGGTCAAACAACATCGGTGCTGGCGAGACTATCGTTTTTATGACAGGTAAAGGCAGTATGTTCAAATTACCCCACGGTGGGGCAATTTGAACACACCGTGACTTGGTGGAGAAGTGAGGCTATGCTATTCAAGGTATGCTCGGCTCGTCCAAAAATGAGGCTTGCATGGTGAAAGCAAGTGACACTTGCGCTACTGAAACAGTTTTTCTTCATCCAGGGTTGAACTGGAATTTGGTACAACGGAGAAGACGTAAAAATATGTTCAAATTACCCCACACTACCCTACTTAAAGACTTTTCAAGCTCCCTAATCACCTGACTTCTTGCATCATAAACTTGATGTTTGTATGCTTGGTTACGGTAAAAGGGGGCAGTCTAGCGAGAGGATATAACGAGCACTCGCCTTTTCAGTCCTATTCTCTTTAAGGTTATTCCAAGTGGTTGGTAGGTACTTATTTTTTATCCCGAGAATCGGTCATATGTGTGTGCTGTGTCGTGCCAGCAAATAAGTAGCCGGTAGAAACCAGGCTCTGTAACCACTAACCAGGAGGCAATCAGTCCTGATAACCAGCAGTCAACCAGTCTCAGAAACCGGAGGTAGCGGTCACGTTTGCCAATGGTAACCAGTCTCACTGACCAGCACCGACTGGCTATCATTACCGCTCTCCCCAGTGCCAGCAGCCATTACCTACCAATCTCTATGCTCAGCAACCCTTTCAGTGCCAGTACGCCACTACCTGGTACAGAGCTCCCTCCCTTTTCTCTCCC